CAAATCGCAACCTCAGAATTACAAAGTTCTATCTGATCTACTATTTCCACACTGATATACATGGGCATGATGGTGATGGGTTACTAAATACTAGACTATATCTAATGTAGATCTAGATCTACATTCTAGCTAGATAAACTAAAGTAGATGCTAGTGTGAGTGGAATTTTTTTTTTTAACAAAAAGGAATTATCATTCTATGCTTGCTTGTTATTCAGTTGTAATTTATTTACGTACGTGTAGATCTATATCTACATAAGGATTTTGGAGACCACGGTACCGGACAGGTAGAAATCCTTCCCGATTCTTCTTTCTTCTAGATCTAGATTTAGTTCTAGATTTAGTTCTAGATTTAGTTCTAGATTCTAGATCTATTCTACGGTCCTCAGCATAGATGTACACTATAGGCACTGAAAGGGGGTAACTCAATGGCCCAGAGTAAGACAAGAGAAAAAAAGTACTGAACTGAAGAGAGAAGAGAGTCTACAGTGCAAAGACTTCTGATTTTTTTAAATGCAAGAGAGTTCTGTTGTCACTGGGAATAGTTTTTGTACCTATCCCCAGCGTCACTGGGAACAGTCACTTCGATCATTTTATAGAACTCAACGAGACAACTAATTATCACACGTTCACGCAGCAGTAAAGAGATTAAAAAGACGTATCGAAATTTGTGTCACGACACACTGAAATCAGGGGCTTGTCAATTTCTGGACACGGAGTTATTGATAGCAACTTACATCTTGTTCGTTTAACATGCTTTTGATTTTGAGAAATGCCCAGCTAGATATTTGCTATTATCGAAGTAGGTGGGGTTCAGTTACGGTCAGAGGTAAAATTAAAGAGGAAGTGCCTTCCAAAGTTATTTGACTCCCAAAACTGCAATGTCCTTGGAAACAATACATCTCATTAATTAAGTTTTTAAAAGTAAAATTCACACAGAAATGCATTCTTATATTGGCATTAATAGAGTTTAGCCCATAACAAACAAAAAACAACAACCCAAAAAACAAACAAAACAACAACTCCCAAAACCCCCCATGAAAAAACCCATAAAACTTTCGCGACAGGTGGGGGTGTACATTATTGTACCTTCGATGTCATTATTTTGACGAGCGCCTATTTTCACCACGATGCCTCACATTTACTTTTACTGTATTGTTTGACCCTCCAGGTCCGGAAAAGGCTCCTGTCTAAACGACAAACCCTCGACTAAGCTAGACCTCCCCAAAGACCTCCCCGGAGTGCTATACGACTCAGACGACCAGTGCCAAATGTGGCTTGGAAAGGGCTCAACATTTTCCTCTCAAGCCACAGGGAATGTAATTACCTTAAATTTTTACTTAAGTATCGTTCAAAGTTCTACTTTGATTTTGTGTAGTGATATTTTTTTATTCGACAAAAAGATTGAAAGAAAAGAGAAAATATGTCTGCCAGAATATCAATCTATCTACTTTGTCTGCACCAATTGCAATCTAGTCTGTCTAGAAAATACCGTAGTTGGGGTAAGGGGGGGGGGATTAAAAGACAACTGCTGCGATGTCCAGAGAAACAGAAGCATCGATGATTCACAGTTCGAAATAACCGTCTGATCTGACTCAGTCTTGTACTGTAGGCCCTACCTACCACCTAGCGTATTTTGTAAGCCCAGGCTGAGATCGTTGGAAGGAGGGGTGGGGGGGTGGGGGGGGGGGTGACAAACTCGTGAACGAGTTCACACCTCGGCGTGATCCCGTCTGGGGCACACATTACACCTTTTTATGATCTAGGTCTAACAACGGAGGTGTGATCATTTTGACAAGAGTGACGCTACTGGCAGTTCAATGATCGACAATTTTAGGCTGCTTGGTGGGTAGGCTGAACTCTTGCGAGATCATATTCCGTAAACTATGACCTAACATGTGGGAGGCTAGCCAAATGTATGTACTCTCTCAGAGCGATGTCTCAGAGGGTGACTTTTTTATAGTGAAAAGTCTTTTCTTAACGCAGGAGAATCTTAAGCGAACCGAAATCGAAAGCAGTAGGCTCTTAGGTGGAGACTACCGAAATATAATTGTATGTTATACATAC